TTTGGTCGTTTTCGCATCATTTTTTAACAACTGATTGGAAAAAGAACAAAAAACGAATAAATAAGTGAACATATGGGACAGGCAAATTCCAAGGGTTATAAAAGAAGAAAATGCATTTGCTTAGTAAATAAGAATCTCTGCATCTACTGCGCAGCTACTCTCAAAAAGCCACAAAAAATCGAAATAATTGGCCAACGCACGGGCTGCCCGTGCAAAGATGCGTTTTTTGCATAGTTCCCCGCAGATTTTTGTCGCTAACGGCACTGGTTTTTCTGGCAGATGCTTCTAGCTAAAAGAATTTCAGATTGGTCACCAGGACTGTCAGGAAACATCCCTTCAAAATCCCAATCTTCTAGCTTCTCACTTTCCTGTGTTAGCAACTTACTCGGAGGAAACTTTCAAGGGCCCATACGTAGGCATCACGCTTACCCGCGGGCAGGGTTTGAACTCGTTGATACCTACTTGAATAGGGAACATTGCCCTAGGATTTCAGCGTTCCAGCTTTTCAGATCCCCGAGTTATGAATTTACCCGAAAAAAATTTTGGCGGGCCCGTAAGCGAATACTACGCTTACCTGGGGGTTGAGTTTGAGTTCATTAGTACCTACTTGCACAGGGAACATTCCCTTAAAACTTCAGCTCTCTAGCTTTCCTGGTTCGCGAGTTAGCAGCTTACCCGTAAAAAACTTTGGCGGGCTTTTACGTGGGTATTACGCGGGAAAGACCGCCCATTTTGGGGATAGGGGCCCGTATGTGCATGTAGATTAAGCCCCCAAAGTTTTAGCCCTGTAGCTTTTGTGGGTTTCGAGATGAAAAACCGGTACAGACACGCAGCGCACACACAGACACACAGACAATCTCTCGTCAATATGCGTTTTTCGCATTGTATGGCTGCAAAAAACGCATAAAAAGGGAAAGATGGCGCGCAGCTGCTTGTGTAAAACAATTACTTATGAAGCAAGTACTTGTTAAACTTGGTTCAGCTGAGCTTATCAAACGCCTTATTTGCCAAGCAGATGTATTCAAGGCCACTGGTACACTGGAAAGCTTGGCTCCTTAATGTTTAGCTGTGCCAAAAAGAAAAAAATCACTACACTTTCCCTTTTACAATTTTCTGCCTTTGCTTTACTGGTAAAACCCTCCTCCAAACAACAGCTTTGATCTCAATCAAGTAGGCACCAGCAATACTCCCAGTTCCGGAGAAGCTCATTTTTTCAGGGTCAACCTGGTTGCTACAATCTGCTTACACACGGGACCGGGCAGTTAAAAACCTCTCAGCTGCACTATTTCATGGATTCGAAGATTTGGGTACTCGTATCTGCGGCGCTTCATGGCTGATAAACTTGCCTGGGGCAAATTTTCTCAAAAAAAAAAAAAAAAAACAGAGAGTACGAAGGGGAAAAAACTGGAAATGAAAGAATCGAATGGAACACATAAACGGGGATCACTTCGAGAGGGAATTAAGAATCATACCTCGGCACGGAGGCGCTTGATATTTTCGCCTCCTCGGCCGATAATGCCACCGGCACCGCGGCTCGTCACCAGCAGTCTCAGCTCGTACTTCCCATTTGCCAGCGCCTCCTCGTAACTGTCCAGGCGCGAACGTTTCCCGCCACCACCGATACGGCGATCACTTCCGCTGCGTTTCATCTCCGACGTACGTTCAAAAGCGCGTAATAGCCCTGGCACAATACGAGCATTTACAGCAAAACCATACGCAACCAAACTTGGGCCCGGGCCCACACAGAACATGATCGTGATTTACGCCGCAACAGCAAAACAGCGTGCAAGGTTCAAAATCCCGCTCCAAACATAGGCGGACCCAGGATGTTTTCTCGGAGGGAGGGGATGGTGGGGTTTCCTCCGAGAAATCGCCCCCCTCCCCCCAACGCCCCTATGTCGGGAGCCCCAATCCCCC